CGTTACTTCCCATCTCTGCTAACCAGTAGGTGGCAGTAGTGTTCTTTGACAAACATGGATGCCTCCAGTAAAGCACATTCACATGAAAATTACTCTGAATTTAGAACACTGATTATTTATTGAACAGGATGGAATCATTTCAGATTTAAAGATTTGCTGCTTCCAGCTCACAGCGGCGTGTTTCTGTAAAGCAGCAGACTGCAGCTGGTGACCCGATAGGAGCAGGTAGCTCATAAGCTCCTGGAATATATATATATTATAGTAAAACTGTTTAAACCGCCCCTGACCTTTGACCCCACCCCTACAAAAGAAATAATTTTTATTTTCTTTCTATCAGCGGCGATAGAACTGTTTCTCTGCTCGATGTGTTCTCTCTGTTTGGGGCAGCGGCCCCCGCTGGGCCGGCCGCTGTAGGTGGGGGGTGGGGGCTGGGGGGGGGCGTTGCCATGGCACCGCCCCAAACTGTTGTTAGGGGGGGGGGGGGGGGGGGCTGGGGGGGGGCGTTGCCATGGCACCGCCCCAAACTGTTGTTACCTGCTGCTTGAAGGCTACATGTTGTTGTTGTTTGTGTGTATGTTGCATATTTTTCAGACGTAGGAACTGTGGGAAATAATGACTGCTGCTGCAGGTCAAATGACGTTGGTAATTTTTTCTTCCTTTTCCATATCTACCCTGCCCCCCCCCCCCCCCCCTCTCTTTCTCTCTGTCCTCTCCTCCAATCAGCTCTGTAGACCCATGTAGTGACTGTTTAACACCTCCATCTGTGACCTAGCTTAGCCAGCGGCCTCTAACGGGCTCTGATCGTTAACCAGACTAGCGGAGCTCTCCTCTGAATGTGTAACACTTTAAACGTGCATGTGTGCCGTTTTTTTTTCCTTTGCCGTGTTTTCTCTGAGGCAGCAGGCAGCTTCAGGAACACTGAGGACCATTCCTCCTTCTCTCCCATCCTCTCTTCCATCTGTTTGTTAATTTTTGGGCTGATAACTTCTTCAGTGCATCCAAACCAGCATTATCGTAACAAATAATGCAGAGGGCCACCTGCACACGATGCACCCAGACACCATGCCACTCAGATCTACTCTAGATTAGCTGGAGGGTGTAATCTAGTAAAAGCTCCAGGCAGAGATTGTCTCTAAGCCAATCGTAGCGCTAGGCCGCCCCTCATGGAGGCAGAGCTCAGAGTTTAGGTCCTAATTGGTGATTGAATCAGTAGCTTTAACCTTTCCTGCACTGGAGGAGCTGCTCTCACTGTCTTCTTCTTCTGTTCTCTCCGCAGCAAACTGCCAGCAACGCCGAGAAGTTTGACTATGTGAGTAAAGCGGCAGGAAGCCACGCCCCCTCACCATGTTTCCAGATCAGCATCGTGACAAAAACGTTTTTTTTTCTTCTTTTCAGGTCATGAACTATCTGAAGAAGATGGCAGGAGGCGAATACGTTGGTTTCAGCAACGCCACGTGAGTCTCTCCTCATTCAGCGCCATTTTGCTTTTAAAGGGCCGTGTTTGAGTCCAGAAACACCCAGTGGGGGGGGCTCGGATTTCAGCTTTAAAAAACCTACAATACAGCGATAGAGTTGATGTCTGCCCGCTATCATTGCAACCCCAACAGCCAGGCCAACTGTTCCCTCTAACGACCCCCCATTCAGAGACATAGACAGGTAGGGGGCATTGCAGGCTAACAAAGAAGCCAAACGACCCCCATTCCAAAGGAGGGGACCCTTTCATCCTTTTCAACCAGGTTTTGTTGGGCTGCTGGATAAAACCTGGAACTAAACGCTATTTCTGACATTT